ACTTAACGGTCTGCTGCTCTCAACACTATTTCCCACTCAGTGAAGCTCTTTTCAGATTCAAAATACCTTTTGAGGAAATGTATTTCCAGATGCCAAGTAAACTGCATCTTAGCGCACGCACGAACCCCCGCCCCCCTCACCGAAACGGGTGAGACAGAAGCGGAAGGTGGTTCTTAAAGAGACAGAGGCCAATTTAGAGGCGTTTAGAAGAGGAAGTGATGAGAAGATAAGTTTATTTTCTATTTCAACATAAAAACAGCATTTTAATAACAACTAAAGGTGACATAGATACTTTATTATGGTATAGTTTTTAAATATATGCTTGAGAAACACATAATATTGCCCCGTTAAAGCATGCGGTTTGGAGGTCCAATGAGGACAGCTGCTGAAGCTAACCCACTCACCGTTAACGAGCTCATGGAGAGTAAACAGCTGATGTGTTTTCTGTCAACATATACTCATCACCCTGCTGAACACAAATACACACTTTACACACCCTCACACACAAGGAAGCATGGTTATTTCTGTGCAAATTAAGAGCTGCTGTGCAAAGGTGATACAATCAGGATCCCCTGCACCCCTTCATTAAAAGCAGTCAGGAAGATTCTTCACCTCCTTCTGTTGTTCTGCAGTAAATTCTTATTATCCGGTTTTCAGGTGCTGCCATTTGTGTATTTTTGGAGCTATACTCCGTCCTGCCTACTCTTCCTCCCTGTACACAATCATTAAAACTAACATGTTAGTAAAATGAAAATTTGATTCCACTACAGCAGTTTTTGTTTTGTAATAAGGGATAAAGTCCCTGACTTAAACGTATACCACCAGTCTCCTTAGATATCCCACCCCCACCCCCGGGGACACCTTCCTCTGTGGAAGAAAACGTAATCAGGCTGACAGCAGTCCTCTGATGATCAGTCGGTGTGCCTGGAGCTGGTCCTCCTCGGGAGATGAAGAGGAGGAACCGCACCTCCTCCTGGGGAGTGGGCAGTTTTCAGGGTTGTTCCCTCTCATCAGTTCTCCACGTTAGCTCTCAGCATGCGAGGCTTGAGTCTTTGATGGCTGGCTGCCCGTCTCTGAGCAGCAGGGGAGCTGAGCAGGGGGTGGGGCGGGCACAGCGTCTGGGTTCTGATGGGCCGCAGCAGGGCCCGGCTGCAGCTCAGCGAGCGTCGGTCCTCAGCACTCGGCTGAGGCTCCAGCTGAGCTTCACACAGGCTGAGCAGCGCTGCCACCTGCTCCTTCAGCACCAGAGATTTGAACCTGCGACCTGCCAGGTAGAAAAAGGCTTCAACGAAGGCCTGCAGGCCCATTCCTGAAAGGAGAAGGTCACATCAGTCAAGTGAAATGACACATTTACTGTATCTGAGCTGTGTCCAAACCACACAAATGAAAAATAAAGAGACATAAGAGCTAATCTCAGACTACAGGAAGCTCAGAACGGTCCATCAGCCCAAACACAAGACAAACTTTATAAATTGTGTGTCCATATCTAAAGGACCAGGGACCTCATATAAACGGTGCGTACGCATAAAAAAGTTGCATGCGCCAGGTTCTACGCCCATGTTGGGATGTATTAAAACCAGCGTTGCGTGAAAGTGTGCGTATATTTACTTTTCACCTGCCGTGAGAATGTGCGGCAGCCACACAAACTTTTTCAGTCGACAGTTTTAACTCACAAAGTCACGAATCTGACCTGAATCCACAGAAATATGACTCTGTTGTGTTTTCTGGATGTAAGGAGCGTCTGAACATTGTGTTAAGATTTTTATTTTAGTTTGAGTTTTTATTGTTTAAAGTCGAACGATCATGAAACTGAACCTTGGGACTGAAAATCATTTAACCTCAGACAAGAAAATAGATCAGTTTAAAAATGATCAAAAGAACCTCAGTCCAGTCGTAAACTGTGAAGTGTTTATATTGTTGTCACGTAGATGGAAACACACGCAGAGCGCACACACAGCTGAGGGAAATGTGTGAATTGTCTAAAAAACATTTTAATTCTCACAGAAAAAAACGTCAATTCAGAACAGCTCAGCTCCACAAGACGCAATAGATTTATTGCTGCGTAAAGTTGTGCGTATGGATCAATGTCCAACGTGTGGCACCGTGAAGGTGATAAATATATGAAAATGGTAGCCCCCCAATTTAATTTTTAGGTTTAAGGTCACTTTGTGTTGAGAAACTACTGTTCAAATCTATTTTGTGATTTAAAAGTGTAATATAAGTTTCGGCAGCAGGGGGCGCTCTGAGCTGTGTGCACCAGTTGCCGACGTGCTGGTCAGAAGACGAAGTTGACCAGTGTCGGATGAAGCAGTGCAGAGACAAAGCAAGAGTAGCTCCTTTAACCTGCTACAGTATGTTTCTTCTGTTTTGCAGGTAAGCTGGGTGATAAATAACATAATAGAAAGCAGTAGTAACATCTCATAAGTGTCTTGTGGCAGAAAGAAGGAAGGTAAAACTAGAGTAATCACATGTTTAAGAGTTTGTGCAGCGTGGTTAAAATGTCGGACATGTGCGAGGCACTCACGGTGAGGGCCTGCAGACTCTTTTCTTGTTCGTTTTTAAGCTAAAAGGTAGAAGCTAACTATGCAGAGATGCTAGTAGCATCAGTAAAAGCGCAACTGACTTGACTTTAACCTACCTGAAAYAGAGTAAATGTGTTATGGAATGATGCACTAGTATAAAACCGAATGTGGAGCTAAGTGTGGAGCTAAATTTAGCATCAGGCTAGGACAATTGAGCGCACGTGGTTCATGTTCCTGTGTGAGCTTAGTTATTTGGTTGTGATTAAAGTCTGTATTCTCTTTACAGCTATTTTTGTTTTAAAGTTGTATTATATTTTCTAGATGTGTTTTGTAATCATCAGAGAAAATGTAAAATGTGTTCTTTTCATTTCCTTAAGGTGAAATATAATAGAAATGTTAAAAAGACATTCTGTTAAAATGGATTTCATTTAAAATACAATTCATAAGTGATTTAAAAGGATTAACAACTGGTTATAATAACTGTTTTAGTACTACTGTGTGATTAGTGAGTTTCACAGGAAAAATGTTGTTACTTTTATTGTGAAAGWAGAAGAAGTTGACCAGTGTCGGATGAAGCAGTGCAGAGACGAAGCAAGAGTAGCTCCTTTAACCTGCTAAGTTTCTTCTGTTTTGCAGTTTCATGCAAAATAAATATGTTGCACCAGAGATGAGTTGGCCCATCATTTCAGCAGTGTAACAAACGCATTCTCACTCCCCCCGCATCAACATATTGACGCTTGGTCAGGTAGCCTTTTGCGTCCAGTTTTGCCACGCCGGGTACCCCACGCACGTCAGTTTTTCACGAGATGAGGCAGAGGAGGACGAGCGCGTTGTTCTATTTTTTACAAGAGTAAGAAATGCGCTTTTCTTCAGATCAACTATTTAATTAATATTTTTCTAAGTTCTACAAAAGTCACAAGTTTCTCTGTGTTTACAGTCATTTATTAAAGACGTGTGAAGGTGGAAACGTCTGTCAGCCTCATGCGC